GGGGGATGAAGATTAATTGAAAACAAACAAAAATAGATACACAGAACTGCTGAGAATTATAAAAGTAGATGATTCTATTGAATCAAATAAGTGTATGCATTTCAAGAGAAGATTCTAAAAATAGGAGTGACTTATGTCTCAAGTTAAACTCAGAAAGCATACCTGCCTACAGCACAAAGACAGAAAACCCTGCTGCACTTGAAGTTGTCAACATTTGGATTTTCTTTCATTTCATCCTAATCAGACAAGCCAAGTAATGACAATAAAAATGGATTGTGTTTATACAGTGCATTTCCCCACTACAAAGAAGGATCTCTGCGCGCTATTGTTTGGGTAGCAAACATCACATATTATTATTAAACGTCATCATCTTGAAACACACTCAAAAAATTAATTTGGCATTTGCATGAATGATGATGATCTTCAAGATTAAAAAAAAATAAATGTAAGTGCATTTAAGCCCCTATCGACACAAATAAGATCAAATAGGAGGCAGGCTTCAACCATGTCTATCAGGGCCAATTTGGGCTGAGAGGAATACAACATCCCAGCAGAAAGATTAAGATACTGGATAAAAATTCTCTCTACATGGAAACTAAATTCAGGTCTTTAGTGAGCCTTGTTGAAGAGCCAAACCACTACACCACAAGCGCTGGTTTCATTCGTTTATATACTAAAAATATGATTTTTTCTTTGTTTTACCTTCCTTAATCTTCTCCTTGAAGGGCGACTCAAAGCCATAAGGCACGCTGGTGATGGCCGGACCTCCTGACATGGAGCTGCTGGTGCTCTGGAGGTACTTGTCTCCCTTACTGCTCTTGGTGGACCTCGACGTAGTGGAGGTGGTGGAGATTCCCACGTTATTGATGCGCAGCCCGCCTTCGCCAGACGAGTCATGTCGATACGCTAGGGCTGACCGCTGTGAGTGTGAGAGGGTAGGGGGGGAAAAGAATTTTTGGCTTTAGTTTAGTAAAGGTTATTAAATGCACGTCTCGATAACAGTCATTTTGTGCAAGTATGAAAGGCTGACAGCTTGACGGAAAAAAACTATTCATCTTCCTTTGAGAGAGAATACAGCCTCGTTAGATACACTAAAACACATCATTACAACAACAGATATGATGATAAAGAGGAGCCGATTTTACAGATAAATCTGGAAATCCTAATTTGGAAATAGTTCAGATTTTGCAATTCGTACATAAAGTCTTGATGCAAGATGTATCAGACAGTATGATCTGTAAATTTTGAGCTTTGGTGCATGCATCTCCGCAGGGTACAAAAAGTCCACCATATTTTGTTCGTGGCCAGACGATACACCTGATGATATTTATAATACCAAAATTTGCTTTAGTAATTCACAGTAATTGTAGTATTGAATATCATATATCATGACACATTGAGTGTAGTTTGAAGGGCCAAAATACAACCATAGTCATAACTTGAAGTACTCACAGATTGCACAGAGTTCCTGCCTGAGGCCATATTCTCATCAAACTCCACTTTCTTGCCTTTCAGCCTGTAGTAGAATCTCTTGGCACACCAGCGAACCTGGAGGGAGAAATGATATTGAAAGTATATTAATGAGCAAAGAGAGTCCAAAATTTATTACTCTCTCAAAACAGAAAACAGATAATGTCTGCAAGTGTGAGTGTGTCTGTGTGTGCTGGTTTGTGTGTGTGTTTGTGTGTCTGTGCATGAGAGCTCTGTGAGTGTGTGTGTGTGGGTGTGTGGGTGTGCGTGTGTGTGTGTATGTGTGTGTGTGTGTGTGTGTGTGTGTGTGTGTGTGTGTGTGTGTGTGTGTGTGTGTGTGTGTGTGTGTGTGTGTGTGTCTAAAACTTATCACATTAAAAGTCACTTCTAATCTTTGTCTCTCTTTCTTTCTCTCACAACTCCCTCTCTCTATTTATCTGCAACTTCTCTCTCTCTCTCTCTCTCTCTCTCTCTCTCTCTCTCTCTCTCTCTCTACCTCTCTCTCTCTCTCTCTCTACCTCTCTCTCTCTCTCTCTCTCTCTCTCTCCCTCTCTCTCTCTCTCTCTCTCCCTCTCTCTCTATACCTCTCATCTCTCCCGCTCTTCTCTTTTTCTCCCCCATCTCTCCATCCTTTCCTCACTCACCTTTTTACTCAGAAGGATGTAGGCCAAGAAGACAAAGATGCCCTCCACAAAGAGGAAGATGGCGTGTAGATAGTGCAGGGAGAGGAGGCCGTAGTTCACAGACAGCAGACCCAGCACCCAGGCCGTGCTCAGCAGAAACAGCAACAAGATGGAGGCCAGGAGGCCGAACCTGAGGAACACACAGTGAATTTTTATTTTTGCCCCAAGTCTGTCTCAAAGGATGTCTCAGTATTAAACTTGATATCTTAATTAAGCCTGACTATGATTTTTTTTTTTTTTTACGCTCTCTCTCACTCTTTCTTTCTCCCTCTGTCTCGGTCTTTCTCTGGTTGACTTTACTCATTTCTCATCATCAACATAGATATATAAGGGTTTTCTTTCCCATAATAAAAAATACAATTACTGAGATATTTTTCACTTTTGCTCAAAATTGAATAAATACTGGGTTTTTTGGTTGGTTTTTTGTTTTTTTGAGGGGGTGTCGCTAATTTTTTTCTAAACCATAAAAAATGGTCTAAACAACTGTGTTATGACTATGACCAAAGAAATATCCACGTTTGATGAACTTCATCCCAATTTGAAAAACTTTGGACCTAATGTCAACAAGACGTCTTTTCTTACCTCATGACACTGACATCTGTCACCGGGAGCTTGTCGGCACAACTTGCTCTTGCGGCAAACACAAAGGTGATCACGTTCAGCTGGAAACATAAAAAGGTGATTCACTGTCTCACTGCAATAGGTTCATATCAAACGATTTCTCTGTAAACCAATGAACTTTAAGGTATAACGAACTGAGTTTGAGAAAAAGAAGCACATCAACACTATAGCAGCCGTAAAGGGCAAGGAAAAGAGGGCAGCACTATATTATGAAAAAGAAGAAAGTACAATCTGAGTGCTGATCAAAAGACACTTCAACAATGTAAAGTTTTTGCTCAGTACTTGTAGACCTCCTGTATTCAGGTATCTTTATCAAAACATAAACACCCAAACGATGGAAAAAATGGCCTCACAGATAAACTGGTGTTGAACTAGAAATGGCAGATATTAAATCATAAGCAAAGACACACTGAGTACCGTATATATGCAATTCTCTCCTTCCATAATACTCCCATTGAAATGTAAACGTTTTCTAAAACTCAACATGGTCTTTTGAGATAACTCACCACAACTACAAAGGCAACTGGTCCCGCAAAACTCCAAATGAATGTCTCTGATGTTGACAGCCAGCAGCTAGGAGGAAGAAAACAAGTAAGGCAATCGTCAGCAAAATGAAGCAGTGGCAGTTGGTAAGAGATCAATTACAAAATTTGGCACAAACAAATAAATTATTCAGGACCATAGCGGACTGAAATGGTGCTTTAGAAAGATCTGGGCAGTCAAGAGTTATTGCAAAGACAATGGAGGCTTTAGTCAATACATGAATAAAAATAGGCCTTGTAATTTAACTAGAATTTTTTACTTTTCAGAAGAGAATGAGTTTAGAAACATGCATGTCTAACCAGAAGTAGTTTCAGTTGGAGGTCACTTGACAGCCCAACACCTCTTACCTTTTTCCCTATTGTTCTATAGAATACAACTTTTAAACTTAACTAAATGTTTAAACCGCAAGTCAAAATGAGAAGCGAAATTTAAATAATACAGCATCTCCTACATCAAAACATGTGGAAAAATGTTGAACCTGCCAGTGGCACCCACCCCTTATACCCACAAGACATGAGCCAAATCACACAAATACTCACAAGCTCGCGTTGCCATAAGCGTCTGTGTAGAGACCAACAGCAAGACCAACCACAATGCCAGGGAGAACTGAAGACAAAAAAACAGCATGATTGGCGGCTTCCATATAACTGTAAGACTAGTCGATATGATGTTATATATGTTTATATTTTGTGCTGCAAACACTGGTCAAAGCACACTGTCAATTTCTCCCAATGTGAATCAATAAGGTGTATCCTATCACTATCACATCTTATTTTATGATATCATCATCAAGCTCAACACTCCTCATCCTTACCATAGCCAAGTAGATAGTAGAACTTCATGGCACCATAGTTGATGGTCTGTTTTTCTGTGAGCATGCGATAGATGTGTAGGACTTCCACAAAGAGCCAGGCAAAACAAGCCATGTAGAAGTAGTGGAGCGAGATGGCCACCAAGCGACAAAACAGCTGAAACATAAAAAAGAACAAAGGAATAAATAAAAAAAATTCCACAAGACTGAATCCTATAGGGAAATTTGATTTGCAACGGCATACATACAAAAATACTTCTTGATACTTCAACCTAAAAAGTCCATTTAGATCTATGTGCACAGACACATACACGAATGAACACAGAGACAGACATGGAAATGTAATTATAGACAGACATGGAAATGTAATCATAGACAGACATATATCTACACACACATATTGTCGTTGTCACAAGCAATCTATATTTAAGTCCATATGGGTACTCTTTACACCAGAGACAAAAAAAGTAGTTTTTGTTCTGCTGTTCCTATCAGGAATCATGAAAGCAAGAAAATTAGAAGCCTTGACCACAGCCCTAAACTCCATTTTGGTAATGCTGAAAGGGGCAAATTTTCAAAATTTGGACTTAAGAGGAACCGCTATAAAAAATTTTTTAAGAGATTATGGGCTTATATTATAACATCTGAACAGCTGGCCAATGACATACAAACACCCACGTACAAAGACTAACTCACCTCCGGAGTGGTCCGGTTGATCCCAATCACGTAGGCCAGCTCAATGATGAAGAGGGTGAAGATGATGTTGATGCGGATGCTGTTCCAGTTACACTGCAGACGCTTGAAAGTGAACAGGACGAAGAAGGAGAGGAGCAGCAGCATCAGCGACATCGCGGTCAGCACAATTGACAACGCCTCCATGTCGATCACTGGCGGCAGCAGGGCCTGAAACATCAACAGAAAACTATGTAAATGTCTTAAAAAATCATAAATGTAATTTTTTTTAATGTGATGTCTTTCGCTCCTATTACGGATTTTCTATCATTTAACTCATTGAGGACAACTATTTTGCACGTTTGAAGACGCACTGTTTAGGGGTTGTTTTTTTTTAAAAGGCATAGTTTTTTAGATTAATACAAACATTTCAATTCTGTTTTCTTTATCTGAACCAATGAAATGCATGCTATTAAAAATGCAAAATTGAGTTTCTGATTTGTGTATCATGGTTCAAAATGTGCAGAATCATTGACTTTGGCCAGCTGTAGATCAGACGCATGTGTCCGCAACATTGACAAAGAATTAAGGGGCCAACTACTTTGACACTGACAGCCTGGGCCATGAAGGATACAGCATCCAAGCAGATAAATGGAGATACTTGAATTATTTTTTTTTTTAAACATGAGAACCAAACTCACATCTTCTGCATGAGACGGTACAGAGCGTAACTGTTATACTACAGCCGATGGTCTGACGAGCCTTGTCATTATAGCAAAAATGAAGACTTTTATCAAGTAAAACAGAATTTTCTCTTTTTCACCTCTTCTCCCTCTCTCTCCCTTTCCCTCTCTCTCACTTTTCTCTTTCTCTTTTTCACTTCTCTCTCTCTCTCCCTTTCCCTCTCCCTTTTTCTCACTCTCTCTCTTGTCTTTCTCTTTGTGTCCCTTTCGCTGTGCTTTTCTCTCCCTCTCATTTTCTATCTTCATTCTGTCTTCTTACTCACTCACTCACTCCCACACTCACTCACTCACTCACTCACACATTCACTCACTCAATCTAAAAAAGCAGAAGTCACGACTTACAGTGCCATCAGCGACATCAATGATGACAGCAAACGTAGACGGGCGCGAGCAGACACAAGTGACGTAGTACTCCTCACAGTGGTCAGAGCCCAAGGACACACGACACACAGTGTCTTCTGTTTGACAGCCGGACGCTGTCCACGTGCCAGATCTAGAGAGAAACATACAAAAATAAAAAGGTCACAGCTTTATAAAACAAGGTGGTGGTTTCTTAGTTGTCAATATTGAATTTTTGTCCACAAAACTGAGGTCCAAAAATTTCTATTTCTTGCAGGGAATGACACATCCATTTCATGCATTTTCCTCAAAACTTTCCTTCCTTTCTCCAGGACAATCAAGCAAATATTGGGAGTTACTTAGTTTTCTTGAAATAGTGCTAAATATCCCCTCTGTTTCCTTGTTTGTGTAAAGAAAAGCATGGCAACACAATAATGGGTATATCAAGTGCTGAGGAAAGAAAATCAAGAAAGACATACAGAAACAGCAAAATGAAAGAAAAGAAGTAGGACATACCAGTCAACCAAATTTAGTGCTGAGGAAATAGTAAAATAGACAGACATAAACAACAGGGGGATTAACTGTAAGACCTACCTTGAGATCCAATTTAGCACTTAGAAAAAGCCAGAAAGACAGATACAACAAAAGAGGATAAAAGGAGAGGCAGGATTAAGCATTGACGTCCTCCACCCACCTACTCCACTAGGTTTATAGTGCAGAAAGAGACTTACGTTTCATCGCCACTGGGCACCCATCGAGCACAGTGCAGGTTGGTGCGGTTGTTGGGGAGAAGAAGGCGGAACCGCAGGATGTAGGTTCCCTCTCTGATGACATTCTCACTGGCGACCACGACCGTCAGCATTGGGCTGTTGACCGTCATGGGGCGGCTGGTGCGTCTGTCGACACAGAGTAGAGGGTTACGTTTTAGCTGTAGTAGAAGTTTTACGGCACTTGCAACACAAATAGGTCATATACATGTTGGAGATAAAAGGTGTTACTAAAGAGTATCATTAAAAAAAGGAGGGATAAGGACAATAGATTTTTTATTGGAAAGATGGGCAAACCATAAAAGAGCATCCGTCAACCACCTATAGATTAGAAAGAAAATCAGGGGATTTTATTGTGAGTTGTTGGGGGATTCAATTCTAAAGACCTGTCTTTCCTAACGCACAGGTAATAGTCATATTTAGTTCATTATTCTTTTTTATTTGATTTTATGACAGACAACCCATTCTTTCTCTCTAAAACTCATCTAGTCAATTGTCAACGTCTCCAACTCCCTGACCCCATCCCTAATCTTACCTAGGGCACTGAAGACACTAAAGAGAGGGTTAAAGTGAGAAGGGCGGAGCATTTTTTGAAAACATGAAGGTCATGATCAGGCAGTAAAAGCATTAAAGGAGTCAATTCTCAAATACAAAATCGTTTTATACATTCAACATACCTGATGGAGGAGTCTGTCTTCATGGAAATGTGCTTGCCGAAGTCTCTGTACACAGCATAACCAACGTAAGCTCTGGGAGGGTCAATAGAGGAAGTGGAACTTGCGTCGGAAAAACCAGGGGCTGCCTGGCGCTTTTCACGTGCAGAACCTATAAGGCAAGGGCAGAGAATGAAGGTTGAAGTTACAAAGAAGAAAAACTAGGTATACATTATTTCCTTGTTGTTAACAGGAACATTTTTTTCAGCATGTTGCAGTTCTCTGTATAAATTAAACATGAGTCGCTAAACACATACATCAATAGAACTGACAAAAAGAATTACTGGATTATTAGATGAATCAGTAACACCTTGCATTCACACTTTAGAAAGACATTCACAAAAACTTTTTTTTTTCAGAAAGTCTTTCCCCTTGTGCAAAAGCAAAGAACAAAAGGCAAGAATGCAGTCTTTAAAGTAAGGTCATAACAGTGAAAGAGAGCAAACAATTTAGTATAAAGTGCATTGGATCTTCAAATTCAGGGCAAACCAATTTATTTCATCAAGGTTTTTGAGGAGTAAAATAAAAACAATAAGACACATCAATATTAATCCATTCATTCAAATAAGATATTCGATGTAAATGGACTAACAGCCCAAATTAAATCATTCAAATAAGATAATTTTTAAAATAAAATGGAAAAACAATAAACCAGAAACATTACTATTTAACTGATTCAAATAGGACTTTCGGGTATCAATGAAAAAAACCAACACAATAAGCCAGTAACAGTTCTCACTTGTGTCGGGGACAGAGAAAAATCCGGCTGGGAAAGTCACGGCAGCCTCTTTGTCCACTGAACCTTTCTTGACGTTGTTGTCGTACTTCGGCACCGTGGCGCCGCTGAAGTTGGCCAGGCTCATCCAGTCAGCTCCCAGCACTGAGGATAAGATAAGATACATCTTTATTGTCCAGATCCTGGCACATTGGTTTGGTGTTTCACTACGTACACACATACACACACACGCATGCGCGCGGGCACACACACACACCAACACATACAAACACACACACCAACACATACAAACACACATAAACATGCACACACACGCAAGCTTACAGCCACATGCATAATACAAATGAACAGTAATAAAAACAATAATAATCTTAAGAAGATTAGACACAAGAGGAGGAGAGGAACCACTATACAGACCATGCTAAAGGAGGGAAAAAACTACAGTGGAGCCTACTTAACCCTTTGAACCCTGGTCTCCTGGGTAATTTCATTGAATCTTTAGGGTAGGCTTTTCTACAGCTCATTTTAGTGTTTTTCTGATCTATTTATCTTATCTTTTGGGTTGTTATATCACTATGCTGGTGTATATTTATGGTGCTGTTTCATATCTGTACTTTTTTTCTGTGAACACACATCATAATTAGGAGGGTATGTCATACTGATATTTCAGTACCCCAGGTTATTTGCCATGCTGCGTTCATACCGATATTAGGGTACAGAGGGGTCAAAGGCTGGGCCCTTACAATCAAGTGGCGACACAGCCCCCCCCCCCCCCCCCCCCGCCCCCCAATAAATGACCTAAACAACATTGATATATCAAGATAGGCATAAAACATTCACTATCAACTACCCACCCATATCATCTGAGACAGCCTCAAACGTGCCGGACTGAGCCTCAGGCAACAGCTTGACAATCTTGGTGACAAATTCCTCAAACAGGTTGAGCAGGTGGGTGGCCCCGCCGGTCAGTTTCCCCACCCGCTGCCAGTAGCCCATGTAGGTCTGGTCGGTCACGTTGCTCAGAACCACCAGCAGTTTCTGTGGGAGGAGATTTAGTCTGAGTAAATAATAATAATAACAATAATAACAACAACAACAACAACAACAACAATAATAATAATAATAATAATAACAACAACATTAATAATAATAATAATAACAACAATAATAATATTATAATAATGATAATAATACATAGTAGATTTCTATAGTGTCCCCTTCCATTCGGGCACTAGAAGCTTTAACACATGGTCATGTAGATTGTTTGAGAAAACAGAAGCATATCATCAACATAATAATGGTCATAAAGTCTCTTGAGTTTATTTGATTAAGAAGAAGCCCATAGACACAATAATGGTAATTTCTCCGCATTTAAAAAATATTTAACCCTATATTAGTCTATTAACTATTACACGTATTTTGCTTTCACATGCAAAGTCATAAATTTTCAGTTATTATCAATAAACCCCCGAGGCATCCCTGGCACAAGCAACAGCCACAAGTACATGTTCTGACTGACCTGCACAAAGTCTCTGTACTGTTGACTGATCATGCTGAGGGCTGGACTGGCGATCTCATACTCCAGAATGACCTTGGTGTAGCGGTAGGTCAGGCGGATGTCCCCTCCGTAGATGGGTGTGGTCGTGTAGGAGATGTTTTTCATCAGCTCAATTGTGTAGTCTGCTGAGCTTGGGCTGATCCCGTTCAACTCAAAGTCGATCAGCTGTGCCGCAGACAAGACACAAAAGGTCAGTTGGAAAATAAAGCAACAGAGGGAGAAGAAGAATGAGAAAAAAATAAACTGAACATTATGTATTCTTCAACAAGACACAAGGGGTCAGCCACAAAATGTAATGACCATAAGATGAAGAATGAGAAGACGTATGTTGTTGTTATCGATCCAGCAACAGTTGGGCTCTGGCCCTTCTTCCAATGCCATGAAGAGATGAGTGCAGGTGAAGAGAAGAAGTAACCATTGTGAATTCTTCAAAGTACGACCTTTTAATTACCGGGCTTAATACAGATCAGAAATTTTGTGGCCCAAAACTGATGTGTGTTTTTTCCTTAGTAAATAGATGCACATCAAAACAATAAAGGCTATTTAGCACAAGGGAAAAGTAAGAGAGACAAACAACAGGGGTAAAGAAAAGAAGTAGGACCTACCAATGGCATCCCCTAACCACTGACCCAGTGATAAAAGAATCAGCAACAGTGGATATTTCTCAATTACGTCAACACTTTTCAATGAATTTAAACGAAACCTGCAGCATTTACTGGCAAAATATGTCACAACACTACTGCCATAAAAAAACTGTATAAAACAATGTACCTAGACAACATTTCTCGTTTTTTCATTAAAAATTTGATTGATTTCAAAACATTTTTAAAAATCATATAAAATTTATTCACACAGAAAAAATCAAATGAAAGAAAAAAGTTCAAACCTGAGGTTCCAGCTCCTTGAAGCTGTCACTGGTGCAGTCAAACAGGTCAGCTTCGTGCCAGCTGTCTTTTTGTGTGCATTTTCTTCTCGCATTTCCTGATTTGATGAAAAAAAAACCAACATAGTGAACAAGATCTTAAATCACCTGGATTCGATTAATGATTGCAAATGTATCACACCATCATCAATACAGTTTTTATCATTTAGGACACTGAATGCTCTTTTTTTGTTTTCCTTCAGAGAAGCATACTTATATTTCAGAAAAAAACCTTAAACCCACCCTCAACACTTGGTCTGATATTATTTTTAACACAGAAGGTCTGAACTAAGTTTTTAAAAAATTAGACAAGGGATGGAGGGGAGAAGAGAGAGGGACTCTCACTCAGAATCACCAGACAAGATTTAAACAGATGGAAAAAAGAAAAAGAAAATCTTTATCAAAGATGAAGCAGGAACCAAAGCCCATTCTTGACCGACTGACATAATCAACTTACCTGTGGCTCCTGTCGGACAATCTTGCTCTGCCTCCTTGCCAAAAGCGATGGGATCCCACCAGATGTTTGAGGCATGGTTCCTTGGACAGTCATCATATGATACTAAAAAATCGAAAAAATATATATTAACTTATTGAACATTTGGCACAAATACCCAATTTTTTGTTTATTCATATGCTACTTAAAAAAGAGAAATAGCATAAATCTAAAGTGTCATGGAACACTTATTATGACAAAGAACAATTTCTCCATTATCTCACTGTAGTATGAGAACAGCAAAATAGACCAATGCTAAAGGGCAATATAAAGATGTATGTGTTGCTTTCTTAGACAACAATAACAATCTTTGGACAAACAATATTAAGCTATTTTCCCTTCAATACACGACATTTGTCAATACCAATTTATTTTTTGGCTTCAATACACTACCATTGTCAACATCTATTTTTCCCCCATCAAATCACTACCATTGTCAATATCACCTCAATGCACTCATCAACCGGTCAAATTTACTTCTGCATTGTGAAAAAGCAACAAACTTTTACCAAATTCAATTTCAGTGCAACAGAGAGCTCTGCAACAGATATTGAATATAATTGAACTGAGACAGGATATGAAAACATACCAAAGGCATGCTGGCCATTAAACTTCGAGCACATTCCCTCACCCTGACATCTAATAATAATCTTGTCATCCTCTCCCTCCGACTCCAGCTTTTCAATGAACCATAGAGGATCATTGTACAGGTCCTAGATAATAGCTTTAGATTAAGAAATTCCTCCTCTGAAATAACTCACAATAGTTTCGAAAATGAACAAAAACTAAATTGTAAATACATGTAAGAGATTTCCTCACCCTGACATTTGACCACTGTCTTGTCCTCCTCTCCCTCCACCTCCGCCTTCTTCCTGACCTCGACAACAGCAGCGTAGATGCTATCACACTGGTCACAGCGGCGACCTACCACCCCTTTGTGGCACTTGCACTGGCCCGTTGTTGGGTGGCAAGTCATGTCCATGGAGCCCAGCAAGTAGCAGTCACAGGGGTAGCAGGTGTCTCCTCCAGGGGGGAGATAGTGCAGGGCCTGGACATAATGGCATGAATTTTTACTTTCCTCTTTTTTTTTTTTGCTTTTTGGTGAGAAAACAGTCATATAACAACATGATGATGGTCATTTATTGCTAAGAAAAAGCAAGAAACATACAGAAAGTACAGCGGGAGGGTAAAGAAATAGATAGAACCTTTCAATGACTATACATGCACACATTTCTTTATAAAAAGAGATGTAATTCCAACATAATGGTAATTAATTACCGCAAGTAAAATAAAAGTAAGATAGAAACAAACAAAAAATAGAAGTAGGACCTACCCATGGAGCCCCACCCCCCTTCCCCACCGCTGGGATCTTCCAACCTCCTGCTAGAAAGAGCAGACCTCACTAGAGGATTCTGTCAGGCTCTTTCAGAATGTTATATCAGAGCTGACTGCACACATTGTAAAGCACATAAGGCTTGCAGACAAGTGGGAATATCCTCTATGCAAATTCTATTTATTATTAATTATTATCACAGGCAAGTATATGTGTCACAACGCCATCTGTGGAATTTTGGAGCACATGGGGTTATTGGTATAATCTTAAAGCCTGTTCATTTGCTTTGCTTTAGAGGGAAAAAACCCAAATCTATCTTGAACAGAAGTCAAAATATTTGTTATTGAAGGAGGTGCGGATCGCCTGGTGTCAGAGGTAAAATTAGCGAGAAAATGCCTGTAAAAGTTAGATGACTCCCAAAACTGTCATGTCATCGGCATCTGCAAATTTACTTTTAAAGCCATTGATCAACATGTCCCAGTTAAAACGACGTGAGAATGTGATTTAAATAGACATAAAAGGCATTGAGCTTAAATGAAAAAAATCAATAAAAATTCCCAAAACGGGCGGAAAAACGTCAGTTTCTTCCATTTCATAACTTTGACAAGCACTTAATTTCACCACAATGCCCCACATACAGTTTATCATAACTGGCTGGCTGACTGATCGGCTGAATGGCCAACAACAGATCCCTCACCTTACAGCTGCAGGTCCCATTATCCTTGTTGCAGGAGCTCAAAAACCCCTTGTCAGCGTCACAGTGACATGGGCCACACACAGGTTTCCCCCACCACTCTGTCGGGCAGGTGAGAGGTGCCTGGTTCTCGCAGTAGTGGCCACTCTGCCGCACACCACACTCGCAGCGATACGAGTTCTCCCCCAGCCCCGGCTGGCGACACTCGGCCCAGTTCTTGCACGGGTTGAAGTTGGTGCATACGTCCAGGCACTGTGGCCCAATGGTGCCTTTCATGGAAGGAGAATAAAGTACAGGGAGTGAGAAGCTCAACGAAAACCCAACATGTGCCTTGTTCACAGTCATAGAAAAGATTTATTTCCTGACACGATAATAATAATAATAATAATAATAATAATAATAATAATAATAATAATAGTAATAATAATGATAACAATAATAGTTCATCCATCATGAACTGATGATGACCTTAAACATCAAGGGAGGAAGAGCAGTTATAAACCTTATAGAATAGAGGGCGATGTGAATGCTCTTCATTATTATTCATCATGTCTTATAAACACTAGAAAAATACTGAATTCTATATAAACAGAAAAAAAATAGTGATTGACCAACAAACAAGTTAATACAAGTGCATTACTACAAACTGCAAATTGAAATAATATTTCTGAAAAGCAGTAGTAGATCAGACGTCTGTGTCTACCAACTCACCTGGCGGGCACTCACACCTGTGACTGTTCCACTCATCCACACACTGACCGGACCCGCACATGCCGGGCCCACAGATCTGTTGACCGATGCAGCCAGTGTCCACATTGGTCTCCCCATCCGGCTGTCGCAGCAAGGACTGGGGCGTGTTGCCCACTCGAATATCCTGCACCGAAGAGAGAGAATAATTTGGATGTGAAGTACACAGTTTGCTGTTGAGCGGGGATATGCAAAATACAAATGCAATTTATCATTATTATTATCAAAATAGATGTTGCTTTCACCTTATGTGCCTGAGTGCATCACTTTTAGTAAGACTTTTACAGCACTTACAACACAATAAGGTCTTATAAGTGCCCAAAATTAGGTGTTGCAAGAGAATCAAAAGTCATCTTTAAAGAAAAGAAACCTACAAAAAATTACTAATTAGAGCCTGTGGGTCTGCTCTGCTATTCAGCAGGCCTGTAATACATTTTAAAGGTGAACACTTAGCTCAATCTTAACCACACAGATGTGCTAAGACTTTAAAAAACAAATTCTGTTTAAAATTATTGCAAAACAGAAGTGAAGAAGAAGTCGATAAACAAGAGACTGCAGGATTTTTCACAAGAGCTTCTGATATGAACAACGAAATAGAATCTTACCTTTACACAGCCCTTGAAATGATTCTCCAACGGTTTAAGGCCATCCTTAGAGACTCCAACATACACCATTTCAATCATTTTGCCACCAACGGGAGCAGAAATATTGTATTTCTGCAGAGATAAAAAAAACAGTGCAAAAAGAACTTCTGACGCAATCAAGAAATCAGTCATCACTTTGTATGATGACACTGACACACAAACAAAAAAAAGACTTGAATTAACCTGAAAACAAGGTTACATTAAAATTCTAATCTACATTCTCTAAAGTACCCCAGCAAAAAGCAAATTTTTGAAAAATCTTGTACACTGTGTTGTTTGTTGATAGTACAAATAGTTATACATTTATCTGATTGTAATTGTAAAGACTTTACAGTAACTTGCACTGACGCAATTCAGATCACACAGGGACAGAGTTATTTTTTACTCAGCCTATCAGGGCCAACCTGAGCAGAAAAAAATACAATCCAGAAAAAAGACGGAGATTCTTGACAAAACAAACTTCCCAAGCCAATATCAAACATATGATTCTAGCATGCAAGGCAAAGCATCTAACTGTTACCCTACAGTCACCAGTATTTCAGTTTGAAGTACTTCACTAACTAGGCAACCACGCAACTTTCCAGAACCTTGTGTGCTAAGGAACAAGCTGATAGTAACAAACTGTAAAAAGGTTTTACATTCATCCAGTTTATCACCAAAATGGCATATTCAATATCATACAGAGAAAAATCTTGATTTATTCATGTCCCTGTGGTACATCTTAAAATAAAGTGCCAAACAGTAAAAAGGTTTTACATTCATAAAGCTTATCATCAACATTGCATATACAATATTATACTGGGAAAAGGTGATGATTAATTCATTTCCTTGTGGAACATCTTAAAATGAATCTGCAAACTTAAACTTATCTATGTAGAGTCTTCATCAAATTTCCCTTTCATATCCCATGTGAGAAATTGATTTTACACCGCAGTCCAAATCTCCTTACATGCACACAATGCTATCGGTGAACTCACTGACCTTGTTATACTGCCCGTAGTCCAGAAACATGTCCACCACACCCTGGACACGCCATCGAACCTCAAAGTAGTGCCACTGACCGTCGTCCACACGGGCTGTGTCAAATGTTATCTCAGAAGTGCCAAAACGATAGTGGATGTGCCCATCCACAATCTGCAAAGACATGTAATTTTCAATTCAACATGTCATTTCACCTAGAGATAAATGTACTGACTATTTTTAATAATGTATACCGTAGATTTCACTTAATTTAAGATTTCTAAAATCTTGTGAATAAGCATTATTTTAATGTATAATTTCTAATAACCATGAGATCAATGTTACTTTAATTCATAATTACTTCTCATATGTCTTTGGGGTAAATCATTGGAATATTCAAAAGAACACACTGCTGTGAAACATCACTACCGAGCCAACAACAAGAATAGACAAGATTTAGGGCAATAAACATGATAATGCGTTGAAGGACAGACTACTGTTTAGTCCTACTACCACTTCTATGACAATAGTAAGTAACTGTTTGATGTATATCTACAGTACAAACAAAATATATTTTGCAAATATGAGACCTATAGGTCCAACTAAACTGAAGGGGTTGGTAAGAGACTGCAGGATAGAACTTGTCATACCAAGGTGGAACAAAATTATGTATAATTACCAGACCAAACAAGACATCGAACCCCCCCCCCCCCCCCCCCCAATACTAATCTATTTAATCTTTATAAGTAAGTTTAAAGAAAGAGTGAATATTTCAAGATGGCGCTCTTTCTAAGAAAAAAAAAATGCCTGTCGTAAGTTCTGTGGAGAAGTATAAAAGTCACCAATGGAAATGATAAAAACATTAGAGCTTCATTTCTCAAATAGAAATTCTGTACAGTAATCTTACTCCTATGTTTTATCCACATTAAAAAAATCACTCCCTACAAATAGTGTCCAACTCTCAATAACAGAAGTCACAATTCACAAACAGTATATTCAATAGAAGAGTGACCCATCTCGAAGTAAACAATCTTTGGTAAAAGTCAGCATCCATTTTTCATCTGAAGTTCGTAACAAAATTCTTCCTAATTGAGAACAGACCTTGATCAACACATCTTTTGAATCAAACATGATCTGCATCAGGGCACCATTTGCCTCCCTTGTTCGGAAAGCGATTCCGTTGACCCATGGGTAGCGCACGACAGGATCTGGAACACTGGTGTAGGTCAGGTACCCGTCGCCATGGAGCTGTCTAGATACCTCAATAGCTGGAGAAAAATATGCACACTGTGACCAACTGGTTGAAGAAGATTATGAAGAACCTTATTAAAAGCCTAGATACACACAAGTGGGGTAATCTGATCCCCAAAATAACCCTTGCACAAAAGTCCATTAGCACTAATTGGAGGTACAGAAAAAGAAGTCCACAGTGCAGTTTGTGTAAAGAGACGCTCACTGACACGATTAATTAGAGTCATTACATGCCAGGGTGTAAGAACAACAGACAGAGGCAAAAATAAAAACAAGAGAGAGAGAGAGAAAGTGAGAGAGACAGAGACAGAGAGAGAGAAACAGAGATAGAGAAACAGAGAAACAGAGAGAGAGAGAGAGAGAAGGAGAGAGAGAGAGAGAGAGAGAGAGAGAGAGAGAGAGAGAGAGAGAGAGAGAGAGAGAGAGAGAGAGAGAGAGAGAGAGAGAGAGAGAGAGAGAGAGAGAGAGAGAGACGGACGGACAGACAGAGAGCTAGACAGGCAGAGAAAGAGAGAGAGAGAGAGAGAGAGAGAGAGAGAGAGAGAGAGAGAGAGAGAGAGAGAGAGAGAGAGAGAGAGAGAGAGAGAGAGACGGACAGACAGAGAGCTAGACAGGCAGAGAAAAAGAGAGACACATAGAGAGAGAGAGAGAGAGAGAGAGAGAGAGAGAGAGAGAGAGAGAGAGAGGGAGGGAGGGAGGGAGGGAGGGAGGGAGGGAGGGAAGGAGGGAGGGAGGGAGGGAGGGAGGGAGGAAGGGAGGGAGGGAGGGAGGGAGAGAGAGAGAGAGAGAGAGTAAAAAAGAAGTTCCATTTAGCACACTTTCCGATCACATGTGCCCACAATAATAAAGAGAAGAAACAAGCAATACTGACTTTGGCTGCAGTCTTTGCCCCCGGTTCTCTCTAGGCAGTCACATCGGTATGTGTTCCAGCCTTCTGAGCACACACCTAGACAGGATATGAAAAGAAGGATATTATTTTTTAATTTCCAAAGTAGACAGTCATTAAAACATAACATTATATTGCCTCAAATACCATCAACATTGCAATTGTCAAGCCTTTCAACCAGAAATACACTACATGCTTTGAAGTGTCTTGGCCATGCAATCAGGTGTAAGCATGATGAAACACACCAACAACTAGCTTGAGGTAAAAGTGTATCCATGTACCCTCATGCCCAGTTGTTCTTCATGAGGCAGCAAGGGACACTGAATCTAAGTGTATGAACCAAACATAAGGGATAAACAGTCTGAGAAACAAAAAAGGGATAGTTTCCAACTTGTCTGAAGAGTTCTAGCACTGGAGTTGGTCACGACACATATTGATAATTAATAACACTGTGACAGGAATGTAGCCTTCTCTTCTCCTTTCCTCCCCTTCACACCCAATGCCTTTCAGGACACAGCAACAAACACCGACCATCAGCCTAAAATAAATGAGCCACAAGAGACAAACAGTCCAGGAAACCAAGTGAAACCAAGTGATAAACAGTCCTTTTAGCAAAGTGGTAAACAGTCTTGGGAATAAAGTGATAAACAATCTAAAGGACTGAGCGAAAAACAGTTTCATGAACAAAGCAATAAACAGTCTTAAGAACAAAATGATAAATACTCCTATTAAGAACAAAGGGTTAAACAGCCTAAAGAACCATGTGTAATACAGCCTTGGAGACAAAATGCTAAACAGTCAGAAAAACAAAAACGACAAACATTTTGAGGGGGAATACAACCAAACTGTTACCTCCTAGCTTGCACGGAGAGTTCTGACAATGGAGTTCCTTGGGCGGGCAGCCAGTCGAGGTGAGGAAGTCAGCGATGGACGCATCCAGATCCACCAGGCGGTGATCCAGGCGGATGTCGGACATACAGCCCACGAAGTCTACGGCGTCCAGCTGATTGGCCGAGTTGTGGTTGAGGGGGAGGCCACCAATCTGCATGGGGCCGGTCAGGTCCAGGAGCCGGTTACAGTTGTTCATTGGGTTGTCGCAGCTGGGGGAAACGGAGAAAAGTGGTTGTTTTTTTTGTTTTGCTGTTTTCATTTCTTTTTCTTCTTATTATTTTTATTTTTAAATTTTAAACAAATTTCAGTTTTTCGTTTTTTTTGGCGGGGGACATTTACAACATGCTCAAATATAATTTGTCCTCCACCCCAACTCTTTGTCAGTCTTTGTCAGTCTGTGTCTGTCTGTCTCCCTCTCATTTGCTCTGTCTCTTTCTCTCTCTTTTCTCTCTCTCTCTCTCTCTCTCTCTCTCTCTCTCTCTCTCTCTTCCTCTCTCCTTTTCTCTCTCTCTCTTCCTCTCTCCTTTTCTCTCTCTGTGTGGCTTTCTGTTTTCTCTTTCTATCTGTCCATCTCTCTGTCTATCTCTCTGTTTCCCCCCCCCCCCTCTCTGACTCTCTCAGCCTATCTCTGTTCTGTGGGAGGGATTGTGTGAGTGTATGTGTGTGAGGCTGTGAGTGTGTGAGTATGAGTGTGTGTGTGAGTGTGAGTGTGTGTGTGTGTGAGTGTGAGTGTGTGTGTGTGAGTGTGAGACCTCTAACAAGTTGCCCGTTCCAGTTATGTGTTTGTCACATCTTTCAGTTCCAGTAAAAATAGAAGCAAAATAATACGATAAAGGTCAAATAAAGCAGGGGAAAAGGAAATGTAAACCGACTGAGACAACAGAAGGAAAGAAAAAAAGTAAAACCTACACATGAAGCCATCCAACGACTGACTTTCATTTTTAGTGAGAACACCATGAAACAACGTGTATTTTGAGTAACTACAATTGCAAATGTCTTACACCCATTGACACGCAAACGTTCTATTAAAATGCCATTAATAATAATAAATCTGATCCGATCGACATTAACTCCCCCCCCCCCCCCACACACACACATAAAGTGTGACCTTCGTCCAAAAAAAACAACCAAGTACCCACTTCACATTTTCCTGAGCTTTTTTTTCCACAGACATTTCAAAGCTTAACTGAGCTCTTATAGCATATTATCCAGTCAATACCCATTAGAAAAAAATCACACTGAATATAATTTTACGTTAATCTCATAGATCACAGCACAGCAGCTGTGGCGAGTTATTGACCCTGTCAGCATTACTGCAAAACGAAGCTAAAGCGAAGTTACAAACATGAAAGAGGCGAAAATGTTCTAATATTATTAAGGAATAGCTTTGATGTAACATGGGCAGGAATGAAAGAAAACGAGAGGAGGAGGAGGGAAGAAGAGAGACAAATAAAGAAATAAAGAGAGAGAGAGAGAGAGAGAGAGAGAGAGAGAGAGAGAGAGAGAGAGAGAGAGAGAGAGACAGACAGACAGACAGACAGACAGACAGACAGACAGACAGACAGACAGACAGAGAGAGACAGAGACAGAGAGACAGAGAGACAGAGAGACAGACAGACAGACAGACAGACAGACAGACAGACAGACAGACAGACAGACAGACAGACAGACAGACAGACAGACAAAAACAAGGGAGGGGGGAAGGGGTGGGCATACAGAACTACTCACAAAGAATCCAGAACTTGCTCGACCCTCACGGCACAGGAGTGGTCCCCCAGCTTGTCGCCATAGTTGATGACAATCTCTGTGTCACAGTCCTCGCCCACTGTCACCGTGGCCGTCTGTCAGAGAACACAACATACATTTGTTTGTTTTAGTAAGCATTTTTTTGGGAGAGGTTTTACGGCGCTCGCAACTGCATGAGGTCATATGAGCGCCAAAGGGTGGATGTCAACAGAGAAGTCTTAACAGGGAATCAGGCTTACTCTGCTCACCTCTCTAGCTTCAACAGCACAAAGTCAGCTTCGACTATCAAGGCACCCCGAAAATAGCGAGTCGCAATTTAAGAGTGTGACAAACATACAAAAGAAAGAGAGGGAAAATGACGATAGTAAGGATTAGGAAAGAAAAAGCAGCAGTTCCCAGTTCCAGTTCAGGCACAGTTATGAGCGTGATATTGATGACTCAGCCCATTTACAATTCTACTGTGCATAAGAACATGTTAATGTACCCCCTTTGGGAATGGCCTAAAGATACTTCAGTCAGCAGCACCACCCCGGGGGGTACAACATATAATTAGTGGCACAGTTCTCGCTCACTGTCAGAGAACACAACATACATTTATTATGTTTTAGTGAGCGTTTTACGGCACTTGCAACACAATAGGGTCATAAAAGTGCCGAAGATTAGAGGTGTTACAAGAGATTAACAAACAAACAAAAAAAGAAGGAGAAGAGATATAAGGACGATAAATGTTAGATAAGAAAGAAGGAGCAGACCACACCAGAGCACCAGCCAACCACCCACAGACAACATACGTTTGGTGTAACAAAAACACAGGGCATCTTTTCAGTAGGGTTGTTTTTTTGGGGGGTTTTTTTTTTTTGTTTTTTTTTTTTTTGGGGGGGGGGGGGGGGTACGGCTCTCGCAACTGCATAAGGTCATAAGAGCGCGTGGGACATATTACACATTTCCAGTTGGTAGGAAATTTTGAATTTTACCTGGGTGTGTAAAGCAGAGGTGATCACTGGCCATGCTTTAATTTATAGTACGGGTTTGAAAAAAAATAGTGCGGTTATTACGGCACTTGAAACAAAAATAGTCAAGTGCCGCAGATTAAGGTGTTGCTGGAGAATAACAAGCAAAGAAAAGGACAAGAAAAGAGAAAGAAGAAACAAACCATTTTTTCGGCGTGGCCGGGGGGGGTGGGGGGGTGGGGGGGAGGGGGTGGGGGTGGGGGTGGGGGGGTGGGGGTGAAAGTGTTGTGCGGCCCTCGCAACTGCATAAGGTCACATGAACGCGCATGACACATTAAACATTTTCAGTTGGTAGGAAATTTAGAATTTTGCACGGGTGGCGGCCGAACCCTACTCGTATAGATTTTTTGGACCACCACTTTAACATGCACAACTTGCATACAATCCACCAAACAACTAAACAAACCATACCAGAGCGCCCGCCAATTACCCATAAAATCGGCTATGAAAATATGAAAAAAAAAAAACTTTTCGGACGCGCGCGAGGGGACTCAAAATTTAACCGGTTGTCTGATCTCTTGTATCAAGACTGTAACAGTAATTTGTATACGTAGTAGATCTAATACGACATCCGGATAATTCCAGAAACCTGGAAGTCGTGTTTCCCAGTAAAATCTGCACCTCTGGCAAAGCAAATACGTCGGCACAATTTAGTGTAGGGAGGGAGTAGTAAGACAACAAACAGATGGAAACAAGAGAAGAAAAGAAGAGAAGTAGGACAATAGCCATTGGCACCCTCCATGCACCCGCTCACAAGATGCGACACCCCCACCCCCTCGAATAGAAGCACACGACGCAATAAAGAGCATTCATCACAAGGAAAAGCTTCACCTGACATAATTATATATAAAAGAGAAACCATGAATGACTCCCTCGCTACACTGAACATTTAACTTCATTACATTTGTTGCTGTTTGACAGCAAATACTTTCTCTAACATAATAAAGCAAACCCAAAGCCTGTTCCTTTTTTTCTCTCACAAAATTCAGGGAAACAGAAAAAAAGGTCTCCGAGACTACTAAACGCTTCATTCAGACTACCATGCACATTTTTTTTAATATCGAGAGTGCACAAAGTATATCAAAAGAACCAACCAACCAGCCGCAATGAAAAATAAGCATACCAAAGACAAACAATAACAGTTTTGTAATATCCTTCCACGTAAGCGGATTATAATCCCTAAATCAAAACCTTCGAAAACTTTATATACGTATAATATGCTTTCTCCGTTAATTTGAAGGGGGAAAAAAGGATCAATTTTTTAAAAATCCATTATAATACAAATCAGAGAAGGCTGACGGAAGCCATCTTAGCGTCTTCAACGTTTCATTCAGACTACCATATGGGCTTTTAACAAATAGACAGCATCAAACGGCATCAAAAGAATAAGCCACGGCCTATACATACAGCCATAGACATTCAGACAACTCTTTTGAAGTTCATTCATACGTAAGGAAACTTAAATTCTTAACTAAGATCTTACGAAATCTTAGACTAAATGCTTTTTTCGATATTTTGACAAAAGACGAGTCTGGGTTCTTGTTTTGCTTGTTTGTTTGTTTTTTGTTTGTTTTTTTGTTTTGGGTTGTTGTTTTTTTCTAACAGAATTTAAAATGACATATCGGAACTTCCTGAGCTTCATTCAGACAACCGTGCACAATTTCAAAAACTGCCGGCATTCGACGCAAGACTGGATTTTTATCGTGATCTTAATATGAGTTAAAAGGGGCGTATTGTCTTGGCAAGGTATGGTCAATGACACAAAAGAAATTAAGTAGGAAATGGGTGTCTGATAGACGGTTGAGAAACAAGTATTAAGATCGGTGAAAATAATTTAAAGGTAATTCTATATTGTATGGGTTAACAGCCCAGCTGTGACCAGAGAAAGAGGTCAACAAGGTTTAGCACAGAAGGAACAAAGGAAAAATTGAACTGCTTGAGGCATCTTTCAGCCATTCGCGGATTGTTTCTCAACGTTAATTTACGATAGTATTACAAAGAAACATAGTCCAAGGAAAACGAGGTCTCTCTCTCTCTCTCTCTCTCTCTCTCTCTCTCT